TTTGCAAATCGTTTCAGCTCAGATTTTTTTTTTCTAAACGATTTAATTACCAAGACAGTAAAACACTTCACTGAATATGTGTTGAATTTACTTAATGTTATCACTTTATATTATTTGACACTTAAGGATGCCTTGTTCAGAAGTATTCCACTTTAGGTTGAAAGTGATTTTTTTTTCTTCTCATTTGTCAGTTGGTGACACCACAATATTTGATTTATAACACTCATGCTATTAATCATGACTTTTTGAACCTCCTCGCAAAGACTTTACCCTTTTCACCTTTATTTGACGGCCCATCAATGCAAGTCAGGAGTGCCCATTAGGTAGATCGTGAGCTACCACTAACTCGTGAAAGGAGTTGAAAGCACTCATGGCATTAGCTCACTCACTGCCAGCCCTTTTTGGTATAGCTGCCGGCCAACGGTAGTGAATGGGAGGAAAAAAAAAAGACTCCCACCGATCATCACAATGTTACTTGACTGACATACAAATAAATCAATCAATAAGTAAACAAATGAATAAAGTATTTTGCTCTTTTTTACATTTTATAAGAAGCTTGCATGGTGAAAAAGTGTGGGCACCCGTGCTGTAAGCTTAACAAGCATGCAAAAATAAGTAAAAGGGTGTTGTGGCTTCAATCGAAACCACAGTGGTTCTGGTGGTTTGGGCTCAGTAGAAATATTCCGCGAACGTTACATGCACTTGTTAAACAATATAGAGAACTCAGCAGGCATGAATTGTCTTTTTGTGGGTGAATGTGTTTGTGTGTGTGCGCGCGCATGCAAACTTGTTTTTAAAGCATGTGTAGGTCTTCAGTGTGACAGTCATTTGATGACAGCTAACTATAGAGTTATAATGCATTCTATGAATACATTTTGAAAAAAATGTCTTTCTCTTTAACTGAAGGCGCATGATCAAACATTAAGTGAATGTTTCATTCACTTTTTTAAAAATATAGAAAGTAGGCATGCATCGTGTGTGTGTGTGTGTGTGTGTGTGTGTGTGTGTGTGTGTGTGTGTGTGTGTGTGTGTGTGTGTGTGTGTAATAGTGCTTGTGGGTGTCGTTTGGTGACAACACGTTGAATTATAATGCTTGCTGTACATTATGATATTCTGGACCTCCACTTGGAAACTTTTTTGCCTTTAAATTTTAAGTGAGGACACCTGATCTAGGGTATAGGCTACGTAGTATGTTAAGCGAGTAAAATAGGTTGCTGTGGCTTGAGCAGAAACCACTATGTGTCTGGTTGTTGGGAAACATCAAGCAAACTTTTTATCCAGTAGTTTAAACGCATACAGGAATTCAAAATTAGAGTGCATATGCAGTGTGCGTGTGTGCGTGTATGTGTGTGTGTGTGTGTGTGTGTGTGTGTGTGTGTGTGTGCGAAATTGTTTAAAGCATGTGTGGGTGTTCAGGATGACACAGTATCTGATTGAACTGTAATGCTTCCTGCACATGAAGGCTGTTTGAGTTAAATTTTTAATGTAGTACCCCTGATCTAACATTGTAACTTTGCAAAAAACATTCTAAGTACTGTAGGAACAAAAGGATAGTTGTCGCTTTCATGGAAAGCACTGTGATTCTGGTATTTGGATGATGGATAAATTGAGCGGTCATTTCATGCATTTGTTTAAAACATCCATAATAGGACAATGTGTGTGCAAAAAAATGACTTGAACTTATTCATTATAAGAGTGAGCATGTATTGAGCATAAAAGTCTGGCTTTTTACCTTTTAACTTTCAAACCATAGCTCCTGATGTAGGCTGTGGTGCAAAATACGTATCTAAAAAAAGGGTTCCCCTCGTGAAAACCACTTGGAAACATTTAACAAGCGTTTCCTGCGCTTGTTTGAAAATGTAATCATAACAGGACTGTGTGCGTGTGTGTCTGCGCGCGCCTGCGTTCGTGCACGCGCGCGTGTGTGCGAGCGGGTTTGCGTGCATGTGCAAAGTGTTTTTCAAGTGCGTTTGAGTTTTGAGTATGACCTTTGGAATTGAGTATACAGTATAATCCATGCTGCAGAGACTTGAAGACTTTTTTTTTTTCTTTTTATTTGAGAATCCTGATCTCGGCTATTAGCTTTCAAAACTAAAAAAAAATAAACAAAAGGGTATTGTGACTTCCACAGTCGGGTGGTTTGGAAACAAACGTTTCATGCACTTGTTTAAACACATATTCATGATCGGAGCGGGCATGCGTTTTGAGTGCGTGCGTGCGTGTGCGTGCGTTCTCTTCTAAAGGCTTTTTGTTGCACTGTCCCCAAGCTCCACCCCCTCTCGCGCACCGTGTGACAACAACAAGTCATCGAGCGAGCCGAGCTTCACTTTTCAGCTCATTTTCCTGCTGTCATTCCTCCTCCTATCTTTGATCATTGTCCTGCCCCCCTCCTCCTCCTTCTCCTCCTCCACCTACTCCTCCTCCTCCTTTCTACCCCCATCACGAACTACTCACGTCTCTCTCTTCTTGTTCTTCTTCTTCTTTTTTTGGTGCCACAACTTCCACGCAACTTATCTGAGGAGCTCCAGACACACAAAAAAAGAACTCCGGTGGATTCTTTTATTTGGCCAGGCTGGCTCGCATACTTTGAACTTCGGCGACTCGTCCGTAACCCACACCCCACCCCCCCTCCCCCCGTAACGTTGTAAGGTGACCATGGCCGCCGTCCCGGCTGCTCTCCTCCCGCCGAACTCTCTGGTCCCTCCGCCGCCTCCTCCTCCGCCCCAGGTCGCGTCCAGCAGCACCGGCATCAGCGCGTCCCCGCCGTCGGCCACCTCCTCTCCGTCTCCGTCCTCCTCCTCCTCGCTGCCTCCCCTGCCGGCTGCGGTGGGAGCCGCACAGACGCTCTTTCGCTC